CCAATCATATTCTACATTTTTTACTAACTAAAATATAAAAAGGTATAATTTTTTATTTTGCCTAATTTCTTTTTTATCTATGTACTCTAACGCTAATATTTATTTTACTAATTGATACACAAACTATTTAAAAAGCCTCATAAGACTCTTCAAATGTAGCTAATCTTAAATTTTTTTGTTAAAATAACTATTATAATAACTAATTCATTGGAGTGACTATACCAATTTTTAATAGCTAACAAACTTCATTTAAAGAGTCCCTTGGTGATACTCACATCAACAAATTAAAAATTAAGAAAACCTAATAAATAAAAACACCAGATCTAAGTTACCATCAAACTCATCTAAAACTCTATTATTATGGCTCCGTTTGGGAAGAAAAAAAGTTGGGTTTTTTTAGCTAAAATAGCCACACACCCAAAAAAAATAATTTTTTAGTCTAATAAGATAAAATATCACATCTAACACATAATCATTACATTCTTTCTCTCACAAAAAGTCAAAAAAATCTTCTCAAAATAGTCAAAAAGCCAATCCACTTCTCAAACGAACCCTATGTAACTTTTAACTTATAATCTAAAGTCCCCATCTCTACTAGTTAAGATAGAATATTGAAATTAAGATGGTCGTTCAACATGAAACAAATGCGTTATTCAACATTAGCTTTCAGACTATGAGAAAATTTAAAATTATATCTTAAAATGTTGAATTCGAGAATGAAAAAGATAAAGGAGGATGACCGGACTAGTAAGATAAATATCAGTAGAATATTATATCTAAATTATTTCTTAATTAGAAATTGTTGCTGAATAGTCTAAACTCTCAAAATTAAAAAAAAAAAAAATTAACTGAGGGAGGGAGAGAGCTTGCGATTGACAAGTAGGAGTAAATAAGAATAAGCTTGCGATTGACACATATACGGCAGGAGTAAATAAAATGTAGCTTCAACCCAAAAAAAAATTATTATGTGCATCTCATCAAAATCGTTTTAATATAAACTATGAGGGTTCGCAGTTTGAATTTGGACGGTTTACAAATTAGTTTGGAGTTGTCTGTATGTATACGGTTTGGGAAAAAGATAACTCACAACCGCTCGCCGTATGGTTTATGATTTGTGCGGATAGAGTTCGCGGATGTGCAGGCGGTTACGGACGGTTTGCGGATCGAACTTTTTTCTTTAAAAAATTATTTGAGCCTTATTTTTTTTCCATTTTGTAAATATTTATTTTGGGTCATTTTCTCCCCATTTTCTAAAATGTTCCAACATTAATAATTAATGAATTAAAACTTATAAAATTAAAAACACAATAAAATCAATTCGTAGCACAAACAAATCATTCAAAATCTTAAATCAAATCATAAACTAATACAAACATATATTTCAAAATCTTAAACTAGAACTCCATATTCATTAAGGAATTTAAAATTTCAAATCACACTTCATCTGAGACAAGTTTAGTTATGTAACAATAATAATATGACCAGTATTTATTCAGTTTCAATTGATATAATACTATTAGTAAATGTAATGCTAGAATAAATTCAAAGAATAAAATAGTGTTTTGTTTTGGACAAAAATATCTAGGTAAGACATAGGAATGAAATCAACAGTTAAAATAAAAAATAATAATAATTCTATATACACAACTTATATTGAGATTTATTAATTAAAAATAAAATGTCGTTTAAACAAGTATATTAAAATATGAATATCACGACACTATGATGACACCTCAGAACATTTTTTTTTTCGTTAAAATATATATATATATAAATAATAATTTCTCGTAATGAAACATTTCTTCCCATGAAATAGTAACAGAGAGAAGAGAAGTCCCAAAGAGAGAGAGAGACAGAGTCGGAGAGAGAAAGTTCAATAATCAAACTCTCTCGGCGGCGACGTATTCTAAGGTAATAAACCCATCCATCCTCTTTTGAGCCAATGGAATATTGATGGAAGATTTCGGCCAGGCCAAGGTTTAGTCCAGCTTGACGGTTCAGTCCGGCTATTCCCATAATGATGCGGTAGGAGTTAGTAGATAGTTGGGTTGGGCATAGTCTGGTTTGCCTAAGGAACTCGCAAATCAATGGCTGGACTGGAAACCGTAGTCCGGTTTCTATAATGGATAAAAGGGTGAAGGGGACGAAGCCTTCATTGTCCCAGGGAATGACGTCTTTTTCGGCCAAGACCAGATGGACGTCATCAGGTATTTGGTAGTCTTTCCTGAATTCGGCTAGGCCGCCCGGAGTATTTACTAGGTATCTATACTTCCCCATCTATCGTATAATTTACGAATAAGTTATATCGGTGCAAAAATTGTGCTCAGTAGCTCGGTTGAGCGCACGCAGGAGTGCCTGGGCAACCTAAGTCTACAAAATAGAAAACACAAGGGTTAAGCACAGATCATTGGACCGTGCTACAAATTAAAAGCGAGGTATCTCGGCATACTGGCTTTGGAAACAGTTTTGTTACTTCGGGTCATCGTCTAGGGGCAGCTTTCTGAGTTCGGTCTAAAAAACTAAGAAAGTTGGTCCAGCCCCAAAGGCCTAAATCGGTTGAACTATGAGTTTTGTTACTTCGGTTGAGCCTCTAGGGGCAGCTTTCTGAGTTTGGTTTAGAAACTAGGAAAGCTGGCTTAGCCCCAAAGGCTTAGTTCGGTTGAAGACCAAGGTTCCTAATTTAATGCAGTCAAACTTCGTTCGGTGGGCTTATCTCGGCTAGAGTTATTCAGGAGTTGATAACCTACTGAAACTACTGATTTCTGGAGTTCTGGTTCGGTTATTATCTAAACTGATCTACCTATATATAGGACAAACAGTATCCTAGTTCGGTTGCTACATGATTTTGGATTCAAGACTAGTTTTCTACATAATAGGTCTTACATGCATGAGTTCTGCTAATATTTTTTCAAGAAAGTTCAGAAGCAAAAACAAAAATGAACAAGCATGTTTCGCAAAAACATAGAAAGCAGAAAGAAGAAAAACAAAACAGGTTTTCTGAAGCTTACCAGGAGAAGGTGAAGCTGAAGGAGGGGAGCAACAGCACCAGCAAAGAACACGAGCTCAGGGAACTCAGAGGCTGGAGAAACAGAGGCACGAAGAGAGAAGAAGATGAATAGAGAAGGTAAGTGATTCAAAAGTGAAAGGGGTGTTTTGTGAAAAAGACGAAAGGCAAAAAAGCGGGAACTGTTCAAATTTTTCGCTGTACGAGGGCGGCGTGACAGCTGCCCACAGCGTATCAGAGCCTGCCACGTGTCAATGGAAAGTGAAGCATTACAGTCACAGTGATTGAAGAGACGTTTTGACCAGACAAGCGGAACCCGGAGTAAAATAAGCTCGGATGGAGAGGCTAAACGATTTTTTAGTTCGGCTGGAAAGGCTTATAAACGTTAGCTCGGCTGGTCACTAGGTAATCCCAATCATGCTGTGCAGATGGAATTAAGGGGCAATTGAGAGGGTAATTTTTGAAAATTGGGCCGACCTATGAGATGGACTTTATGGCCCAAAGTATGACGGACTGGGTAACAAGGGCCGAGAAGTTACTCCGGCCCAAGAGAAGTAAAGTTACTTCGGCTCGGGAATTGTAAAGCTACTTCGGTCTGGACAACTTGGAGTTAGTCCGGTCTCCGAGTTAGTCTGGTCTTGACGTATTCTGGATAGATCGGTCAGGACCTTGCTACTCGGTAGCTCGGTCCTGGCACACCATAGTTCATACAAGGGAGAACCGAGATAAGGTGTAACGAGAGACAGAACCGAACCAATGATAGTTCGGCTTATTCGGCGGCTCTGCATAGCCGTGGGTACTTCGGTCAAATGATAGTTCGGCCGTGGTAAAAACCATCCCACTTGGTTTAAGCAGTGGGGGGTGTAAAAGGATAAGTATTATCCTTTAGGAGTATGAATCTTAGGAGGACTCTGCATGGAGGAATAAAAGTCCTACTAGGATTGGGCCACTCGAAACCTATAAAAGCTCATAAGCATCACCTTGGAGGAGGTAACATAACACAACATACAATTTTGCTTCCTGAATACATTGAGCTTTGTCTATTTGTCAAGTTTTCTGACTTAGGCATCGGAGAGGTTTCCGGCACACACCCGCCGGCTAGCCCACGTTTGTGTTTTCAGGTGACAAAGCGATGTCGTACGAAGGAGCGTGGACTTAGTCAACAGGATTATACGAGGAGAATTATTTCTTTCCCGTACATATACGGTTTGGAAAAGGATAACTCACAATCGCTCGCCGTATGATTTACGATTTGTGCGGATAGAGTTCGCGGATGTGCGGGCGGTTACGGACGGTTTGCGGATCGAACTTTTTTCTTTAAAAAATTATTTGAGCCTTATTTTTTTCCCATTTTATAAATATTTATTTTGGGTCATTTTCTCTTCATTTTCTAAAATGTTCCAACATTAATAATTAATGAATTAGAACTTATAAAATTAAAAACACAACAAGATCAATTCGTAACACAAACAAATCATTCAAAATCTTAAATTAAATCATAAACTAACACAAACATATATTTCAAAATCTTAAACCAGAACTCCATATTCATTAAGGAATTTAAAATTTCAAATCACACTTCATCGGAGACAAGTTTAGTTATGTAACAATAATAATATGACCAGTATTTATTCAGTTTCAATTGATATAATACTATTAGTAAATGTAATGCTAGAATAAATTCAAAGAATAAAATGGTGTTTTGTTTTGGACAAAAATATCTAGGTAAAACATAGGAATGAAATCAACAGTCAAAATAAAAAAAATAAAAAAATAATTCTATATACACAACTTATATTGAGATTTACTAATTAAAAATAAAATGTCGTTTAAACAAGTATATTAAATTATGAATGACATGACACTATGATGACACCTCAGAACATTTTTTTTTTCGTTAAAATATATATATATATAAATAATAATTTCTCGTAATGAAACATTTCTTCCCATGAAATAGTAACAGAGAGAAGAGAAGTCCCAAAGAGAGAGAGAGACAGAGTCGGAGAGAGAAAGTTCAATAATCAAACCAACCCAAACAAAATCCATATTTCTCTCTCAATCTCTCTCTATCCATTTTTATTTTTATTTTCTTTGTTTACTCTCTTTCTCTCTCTACTTGGACGTGTGCAAACAGGTCATGCTCTGCATCAAGAACCAGGTTCTTCTCCTTCTCACATCAAAAACTCAACATTTTAGATCATTGTTTCGAGCTTGTTTTGCTTCAATTTCATCGAATTGTATTTGATTTCTACGTGCTTTTTGAGCTTAAACTTTCTTTTTCTTTTTCTTTTTTCTTTTTTTCCTCTCTCTCTCTCTCTCTCTCTCTCTCTGTTTTCATGGTTATCACGCAATCTCCATCTTACTAATAACTGTTTTTTATTTGTAACAATTGTCTTGTTTTCCCTTTCCAATGATTTAAACTTCAATTTTATATCTGGGTTTTTTGTTTTTATTTTTATGATTTTCGTAGTTAAATGTAATTTTCTTCATAGATACAATTAGATACTATTAAGGATCTACAAAGAGAAAGGATTTAAATTAGGCTTTGTATTCTTGTGATTTGTACATTGTTTGCTCAGATTGTTCGAAGATCGTGTTGATATTTATCTAATTGTGAGCTTTTTTTCATCCTCTTTGTTCTCTGTTTCGATTTTCTTGATGCAACATTCCTGGCTTTTATGATTGATTATTTAATCATTCATCTCTCTCTCTCTCTCTCTCTCTCTCTCTCTCTCTCTCTGTGTGTATATATATATATATAGATATATGTAGATAGATAGATAGATAGTTGTGTATAAAATATTTGAATTAGTTTGTTTGGTGTTGATATGTCTTATCGAGTATTCTTTCAAATCACGAAAACAAACTCTACATAAATAAAGTTGTATTAGGAATCTCCTACCCTGGCTGCCTTATTTTTAATATTTAATTTGAATAGTTAAACTAGCTGTTTACAGAGTCTTTGATTTCTTCATAATAGGCAATAATTTAATAGGATTGGAAAGAATTTTAATTCTCTTATTCAACAACCATGTTCAGAGTATTTGATACCAAGTTTGTTTGAAGATGACGTTTGATCTTTTCTTTTCTTTTTGTGTGCTCATAGATGATGTTTGAGATGTGCTTGAACATTTAGTAACATCCGACACATTTGTAATCTGGAAATCAAATTGATCAACCGAGAATTTGGGGGAAAATTGGGAAGTAAGAGTCATATTGTTTGGAGTCCATGAAAAGATATCGCGATGGGGTCGATGAACATGGAGAAGAGATGGGTATTTCCTCTTGTTATGAGCTCCCTTGTTTGCATTGTCATTTTTGCAACCACATTCAACATGGGTATTGTTTCGTCACTACGCACGATCAATTCACTCATCTCAATCCTCCCATCTCGCATTTCACTTAATCACAGTAGCCAACTCTTTGCTGAAGGCAAGGTTTTGCAAACTCCACCTTCTCTTTCTGAGCCATCTCTTCCTCGTTTCGCTTATCTAATTTCCGGGTCCAAAGGTGATCTGGAAAAACTCTGGAGGACTCTTCACACACTCTATCATCCATTGAACCAATACGTTGTCCATCTAGACCTAGAATCGCCTGCGGAGGAGAGGCTGGAGCTCGCTTCCCGTGTGGAAAGACACCCGATTTTTGCTAAGGTTGGGAATGTTCACATGATTACCAAAGCTAATATGGTGACTTATAGAGGACCGACCATGGTTGCGAATACGCTCCACGCGTGTGCCATTCTTTTGAAGAGAAGCAAGGATTGGGATTGGTTTATTAACCTCAGTGCCTCAGATTATCCTCTTGTGACACAAGATGGTTAGTCTCTCAAATTTATTTATTTTTATTCTTTTCTATAATGAACATTATTAGTTGAGAAGTACTTTATTTTTTGTCCAAAGCTGCTTGATTTATTTAGGTGGTTGGTTGTGTTCAGATCTTCTTTACACTTTTTCTGATTTAAACCGAGAGATGAATTTCATCGAACACACAAGTCAACTAGGTTGGAAGGAGTAAGCTCGATCTCTCTCTCCCTCCTTAACTGTATGTTAGGAAACTACCAATATTGAATGTTAATACTTTTGGTTCTGTTTTATAGGGGTTTTAGAGCAATGCCTTTGATTGTAGATCCCGGGCTGTACCAGACAACAAAGCAAGATATATTTCCAGTCACACCAAGGAGAACTTTGCCAACCGCCTTTAGATTATTTACCGGTTAGTATTTTTACTTTCCATTATTTTAAGCTTTCTGTTGGTTTGATAGTAATGGGCATTGGAATTTTGATTCTTTCAACATAAAAAATGGATTGAAACTATGCAACTCTACATTAGAATCATTGGTGTTAGTTTAAGTTTCAATTAATCACGTCACTTTTTCTTACCTAAAACTTGTTGAATGTCAACTTTTTTTAGCTTTTCAGATAAATCAGATCTACTTCAAGGTGGAATTGCTTCGAGTCCAAGTGATATCTGACTAGGACATTTTAAAAGTTTTTTATTTTTATTTTTTAATATGTTGATTTTAGTAATGCACTTGGTTGTAATTTGTCCATGACCACCTATGCTAGAAAAAAAGTAGGAAATGTTGATATTGTTAGGTTGCTGTGCTGTGCTAATCATTCTCATAGTGACTCATCGTAAAAATAAAGATGTTAATCAATGAAATCATGCTACCGAAGAAAATTCAATCTTTAGCCACCCTAAGATGGAATAAGACTGATTTTGGTAAAAATTGAAACAGAACAATATACATATCATGATTATAAGGTCTAATTGCATTAGAAACATGCATTCATGAAAGAAAAACCAAAGTAACAATCGCACTTTACACGCATTACTAAGATTTTGGAATCTAATTTATTTTCAAAAATTGTCGAACAACAATAACACGCCATCTAAATTTGTTTTCAGGTTCAGCGTGGATGATTCTCTCACGTTCATTCGTGGAATATGTTATATGGGGTTGGGATAACCTCCCAAGAGTCCTACTCATGTACTACACAAATTTTGTCTCCTCACCCGAAGGCTACTTTCAAACGGTCATATGCAACGTGCCTGAGTTTGTTCAAACCACGGTCAACCACGATATGCACTACATTTCTTGGGACAACCCTCCAAAACAACACCCACACACCCTCTCTACTAATGACACGGCCAATATGATTGCTAGTGGTGCCGCCTTTGCGCGTAAATTCAAGCATGACGACCCCGTTTTGGATATAATTGATAAGCAATTACTTGGCCGGAAAAATGGGAGCTTTACACGGGGTGGTTGGTGTGCCGGGAAGCCTCCATGTTCTAGAGTTGGGAATCCGACCAAGATTAAACCAGGCCCCGGAGCTCGAAGGCTTCGCAGTCTCATAGGTAGGCTACTTTTGTCGGCTAAATTTAGTCAAAACCAATGTAGTTAGATTTCATTGAAGCATTGTTGATTGTGGATGAATTAAAAGGCTAATGGAAAGTGTTAGTCTAATTGATCTACAAGCTCAAGAATTGATAGGAATGTTGTATCAAAGAGAGCTTTTTTTTCTTAGGCTTTCTTGTTTCTTTTCAATAATCCAGAGAAATCTTTGGGTTTGTTTATCTTTTTATCTCTCACATTTTGCTAGTTTCTATATTTCAGTTTGTGATTCTCTATTTTTGTTGTGTTTGTACCTATAGGCTTTGATTTAGCAATGCAAAATCAGATGAACAAGCCATGATTTAAAATGGAGTGACTATTAAGGCTGTGTTTATATTATGATTTTGATAAAGAATTTGCATAGAAAAAAGAAAAGACCAGAAAAAGAGAAAAAATCTATATTGTTAACTTTTCTTTTCCTTTGCAAACCAATCTTGATACTATGATCCAAACAAAGCCTAAATGAGACTTCAATAATTTCCTATTCTCTCCTACCTTCTTTCGCAGCCAAACTGGGCATAATTATTAATAAAGGATACAAAACTTGAAACAGAAAATAGTAACCCACCAAGACTCTTCCAGGGAAAAAAAACACAAGTGAAAAACAATAAATTTGAAACATTACATTTATTTTTGAAAATAATTCTAAACTGTATAATTTTACAAGAAATACAAGAATAATGCTGATTTTCATGCTTTTCTTGTATCCATACAAACATTTATCTATATTACATTTGATAATAAAAACAGATTATTCTGTCTTCCATGTTAACTTTCTAACGCCAAAATTTGTTTTTGTTGTCGACGACATTTTTCTCCTGGGGACTTTGCTTCTGTTTCCTTATTTTTCTTTTCCTGATCGAATCATGAATGCTTCTAGTGGACTAGTGGACATTGACCATCACATTAAACCATCTCCAAAAGCTTGATGTTTCCCATGGAATTTGCAGCAACTAAGGTGGATGACTGACCACGCCAACACACGGATGAGATGAACTGTGCAGTGTCACCCATGTCATCGCCTGAATGTGGATCTGTGCTACCGAACTTAAATGACAAAGCCGGCATTGGGAAAGCCTTATGGTAGATGAAAACCTGCACCATAAAAATGATATGACTTAGGAATTTATTTAATTTAACTAAGCAGGAAGTCCTTGATAGAGCGAAATGGAGAAAAAAGATTCATATAGCCAACCCCACTTGATTAGGACACAAGGTTTAATTTGATTCGATTCTCTATTGAAATAAGTCTAACGTATTGACAAATTAACCAGTCAAGCACTCTTTAACTGTGCCAAGTAAAGTTCAAAACAATCCTGTGGACCAGTTCAAACAAACCCATGTCAACATGACCTAGCTCAAACCATGCTTTAGAATAAATTAGGGTAAATTACACTTAGTACCACTGCATTTTCACCAGAATCTTATTTTAGTCCTTTCACTTTCAATTGTAACAATCAACACCTACATTTTAAATCAAGTTTCAATCTCACCCTACCGTCCCTATACCATCTACCATTAATAGAGCTAATAGAAATTGAAAGTGGTAAGACTAAAGTGAGATTTTGATGAAAATATAAAGACTAAAACGAGATTTTAGTAAAACTGTATGTAATGGTGATAATGAAACAATAAAAATGTCATATATGTTTCCAATGATAAGTTCCATCAACTTTTTTAACAATAAATGAATGAAAGGATGATATTCCAACTTGACTTAACATGTACGGGTTGACTGTTACAATTGAAAGTGGAGAGACTAAAGTGATATTTGGTAAAAGTGTAGGGGTACTAAGTGTAATTAACCCATTTAATTTCCACCAGGTGAGCTCAAGCATCTTGGTATAATCAAAAGAGGCCTTCTAATGGTTGCTAGAGTCGGATAAAAAATAGCCTGGTCAGTAAGGGAGGTGTTTGTTTGGTGGGATTAGGGCACGGGATTGTACTCCATGTCAAACAAAGTGGATAGTCTAATGTTTGGTTGGAAAAGTGAAGGCTGAACTAAAAGTCCGGTCGAACTAATGATCTCTCATATATGGGATAACTCAATCCAAATATATATATATATATCTTCTTTTTTTTTGGCGCGGGGGGGCGGGGTTGGCGGGGGGGGGCGGGGCGGGGGGGAATAGAAATGGGCAGATTGAGCCAACCTCCGGATTAGCTAGTTAAATGACAAAATTAACTCTCAAGTATATATAAAATTTAGGGCAAACTCCACTTTATCCCCCTGGTTTACCCCCTAACGTTTGGAAATCACCACATAACCTCTCCTGTGGTTACTAGATTGAATTGCACAGTTAGCATTTCCATCTAACATAACAGTCCGTGCATGACACGCACCTAATATGCAAATGGGCATGGAAAGATGATTTTCCCTCCGAATTAAATGACTAAAATACCCTCATCTTCATCATCAATTTCCAAAACCTACCCTCATCTTCATCATCAATATCCAGATCGTAAACCTCTACTTAGGGGAAAAAAAAAAAAAAAAAAAGGTGAAAGGACTATTAAATCTATAAATAAATAAATAAATAACACAAAAGAAAATACATAATCTTTTTAACTTAATTTTCATATAATTATATTTTACAGATGCTGGCATTCGTGAAATCACAACACAGATCAAGGAAAATAAAATCAACATACTAGCAAACCAAACCAAACACAACACCAAACCAGATCTGGTAAAGATATACTTTTTCTTAGAGATCATGAATCCGAAGCATCTAAGAGATACAACTGGCCTTAGGCCCCAAGATCCGATTAATGCCATTCCGATTATAGAGCTCGTAATCGAACCCTTCTGGTACTTTGATCTCCTTGTTCAAATCTCCATCCTGGATGATGAGATGGTAGAGATCTCCTTCTTCTCAACCTCACAAAAAAAAACAAAAAACCCCACATGTTCTTCTCTTTGATGTGCCTGTACAGGTGCACCACAAATGACTTCACCGAGTCCGGCACCACATTTGGGTCGTAGCTCAGAGAGTCCGACACTTGGAGTAGCCGGCGGTGCCGCCGTAGTCATACACACTGTAAACAAAGCAGCCTATCTTCTTCATTTTTCAAAACACAAAATAATTTTCTTTATCTCTCCTTCATTCTCTCTCTTTCCTTTGTATATGAGCTGAGTGTAATCTTCACTCAATCATTCCTCCTTTCTGTGATTTCAAATTACAATATCCATCCGTGATTTCAAATTACAGTATCCGAATTTGAATCGATTTATCGATGAATTTGTATCTGAATCGATCTCAATGTTCATAGATTTGTATGTAATATTTATGTGTTGATTTAATTGGTTTGTTTGATTGATTAATTGGTTTGTTTCAAATTACACCACTGCATATATATATATATATATATTGCCATAAACAATCTTCACAATTTATTCTGTAATGCTCACTAAATTCCAACCAAGAAAAAAAGTGAATAATTGGTTTGAACTTTGAACTTGAAGGCAAATTGAACATTAATTAAATTATTTTTTGATAGAAATTATGTTCTTTAAATTAATTTGTTAAATCAAAACTTTAAATTAATTTGTTAAATCAAATCCCTAATTTCATATATCGAAATCCTAAATTCTCTCCCTTGCTCTTTTCAAATGCACAACTGTTGAATGAGAAATACTAAACAAAGGTTATATATACAAGGATAAAATAGTCTTTTTACTTTTGATATTAACGGTGTTAACTGTGCAAAGCAATCCAGTAGCCATAGGGCGAGTAATGTAGTGATTTCCAAACATCAGGGGGTAAACCACACGTGGCCCAAACCACAAGGGATAAAGTGAAGTTTGCCCTAAAATTTGTTTCTTTCATTTTTTTATTCTTTTTTAAACATGTTGAATTTTTTTAAACATATGTAAATTAATCTCTTTTTTTTATCAGCAACAAAAAGATAAATTTTATTAAGGCCCAAGGCCAAAGAGGAGAGGATAAGGCATCCTCCACAAAGAAAAAGAAAAAGAAAAAATACATCCAAAAAAACAACCACACCAAAAGACAACCAAAACTACACAACTATACAGCACAAACCGACACCCAATTTGAAGCAATCAAAAAAAGAGGAATCCCTCGGAACATAGGACTTGCCGAGGCCCAAAAAGACGCCAAATGACACACTATCCCATAAATAATCTATATCCCTACATCCTCCTTCAAAAATACGCCCATTCCTCTCCAACCAAATGACCCAGGAGATTGCAACATATGTAACAACATATGTAAATTAATCTCATGATATATAATAGTCTTCTCTCACTTTTTTTTTTTCCTTTTTCTTTTTTGAATTAGCAAAATCATAAATGAAAATATACTTCTAATGTCGTATTTAAATAAAATTAAAAGTGGTCTTTGTAAAATAAAATAAAATATATTTCAAATAAAATAAAATAAAATGTACTTCAAATTTAGTATTGCCATTGTAAACAATTTAAACAATATACTTCATAATTTTCAAATTAAACATGAAATTCACTAAAATAGTCATTTCTAGGCATTTAATCCCATAAAAAAACAAACATGGGATACACATAATTTCCAGCTAAATAGTCCAGAGACTATGGGTGTGTTTGGTTTGGTTTTGGGAGATAAATTTTCAAAAAAAAAAATTGGGAAAAGAGTTTAGAAATTTTTTTGGTTTGTTTGGTTGTATATTTTGGAAATAGTTTTGAAGTATGGGAGTTTGGGATGATTTGATATTTTGTTGTAGTTGAGTAGATGTGTGTGAAAAAAAAAAGTGATTAATTGATGTGTAGGAGAAAGAAAGTAATTTTGGAAAAAAAAATTCCAAAATCACTAAATCAAACAAAATTTTAAAAAAATTTCTCCAAAATTTGTTTCTCAAAAACAAACCAAACAAGGCTTATATATCCCAGGACTATTAGTCCGTTGCATTACAATTTCCCCTATCCAGGCCATCCAAACAAACAAGGCCTAGCTTATTCAATAATGTCTCTTGGCGGTACCAACGATGGTAGAATTGGGATATAGGGCAGGAGAGGGCTACTGCCATCCTATAGACCATCACTATTGGACCAAGGAAAGGGCAGCCTTGCCTTTACTAAACTTGGCCTCAAACTTAGCTTTAGGTTCTGATATCATATAGATAGTCTCTATAGACAAAATTCTCTTAATCAAGTTCGACAAACAGGTAACACAAAATAGATTTTACCACACCACATACTAAAGTAATTTCATTAAGCTAAGCAAATGTAAGTTCCTGTTTGCATATTCAATAAAAATGCTACATGATGAATGAAGTACCTCATTCGTTTCCGAGCCTGTAGCAATGTATCCTTCAGAAACAGATAAACCCACAAAGTTCTGAAACAAGGTAAAATGCATCAGCAGTAAAAAATAAATAAATAAACTGTCAAGGATAGACAGATTTTCACAAGGAAATATATATGCAATATTTGCAGATGACCAAAATCATATGAATGAAGAATTTTATCAAGAGTTTGCTGGTCTGTCCTTAGCAATGTATAAATACCAAAGACCAGATTTAATAATCAGATGAACAATTAACATTATTTGCCATTAACATCTACATGCTAATTCACTAACCATCCTTTTCTTCTTTAGTGGAATGAGTCGGTGAAAACCAGGACAGTTGCTGAAAAAAGTGTACATTGCCTAATTCTGGCCAATCTGATGAACTACAAAATTCTAGCTATCATCCTTTCTCTTTCATGATAAGCAAAATTCTAACTACCATCATCTTAGGAGGATTGCAAAAAAAATTCATTCGTTTATACACCACAATCTATGATGAAATATCAAGAGGAGCAAGAAACAAATTTACTTCTATGAATGTCCCAAAAAGTCCAACATGAACAAAATTCATCCCAACATCAATGCAACGCGTGAAGAATTGGTGGGGAATCCCAGCTAGTTAATATAGTCGACTACTGGAAGTCTTTCCCCATAAATAAGAGAGTTTCATATGCTCACCCCTTATTGCTAGCAATTTTGTTCTCAGCTAAGCTTGACTGCTTCAAATTGCTTATATAAGCAAATTGGGTTCTAGCTAATCTTGACTGCTTCAAATTACATATATAAGCACATTGAATATTCACGCACATGGAATATGACGGCACTCGCAACCCATGTCATGAAAAAAGAAGGAAAAAAAATTACCTTCACATTTGTGTGGCCTGTGAATGATTGAAGAGGACAGTCAAGAACCCGGGCTGTGCACATTGACAAATCCCAAAGCTTCATCGTGTTATCCGTGGATGAAGAAACAAGATTTGTTGAATCTATGAACTTTACATAGCTCACGGTTTTGTTGTGTCCAATTAATGTGCACAATGGCACTTTTGAGTTACGAAGATCATAGTAATAAATCTTATGATCTGCTGTGTCGTTTTTCATCAATTATTATTAAAAAAAGTCCAAATGCAAGGGTACGGGCAGAATCAACAGCAAACTGAACACAGCAGACATTGGCCTTCGATTTGATGGTACCAACACTAATGCCCTGCAGTAGCAATCCATGTAAGAGAAACATGTTACACATCCTGAATTTTTTAATTTAACTTTTTGTAAGTCTTATCACACATCCAGAATTAAATCTACACAGCAATGGTAACTAGATGACTCCACTACATTTAGGGGTGGTTTGGGATGTTCTAAATAAGTGCACTTTTTGACTTTTTATATAAAAAAATGTGTAGAGAGAAGATGTTGATTGATATGACCCAAATAAGTGTATGTATGCAAAAAAAGTGCCCTTTTTTAGTGCATGCCAAACACCTACTTAGTTTCAAAGCGAGACATCCACCAAGTGCAAACATAGAATTGCCTGATTGATACTCCAGAGCTTAACAGAACCATCATCACTCCCGCTGGCCAACATTGTTGGATCCGCTAATGAGAAGTCAACAGACCACACACGGCTTTCATGCTCTCTCATTTCCATAAATACTTGACTTCTTGTAACATCCCATACCTGAAGATGTTTAGATAAACTGCTTATTGTCATCATGAGTTATAGCAACCGTACATGTGAATGAGAGATAAGGCTTGACCTACCTGTACCACACCTTCAAAGTTGCTTGAAGCAATCTGGCTTTTGATATAACTATTCCAACATATATTGCTTAGCTTCGACCTACTGGTCAATTCAACTACAGGATAGTGGATATCTTGATCTTCATTTATAATTGTGTCATATTCAAATATTTTGATCTTCTTATTCACACCAGCTGTCGCAAAAAATTCTCCATCTCGATCAAAACTCAGAGAACATACTAGATTGGAAGAATTCAAAAGATCCCCTTGCTTCAAGTCAGCCTTAACTTTTAATTTACTGAAAGAAATATACTTGCACAAACCCTCAAGGAATGAATTTATCCATCCACTTTCTCTTGCCTCGCTATACTGATCTTTCAAGGGTAAATTAGTCACGGAACTTTTTTCAGTTGCAACAATGGACCCTCTACCATCACTACTTATTGGAAAATGCCGCGTTAATGATTTCCCTGATGACTTTATAGCCCTGTGTCTAGTAAAAAAATAAGCAGACTCTAGTTTCTTAAAATTCTTCATCAGTCGTGAGCTTTTCAAGATAATACTTCCTTGATTTTCAGCAGGCATCTCTGAGTTCTGATCTTCAAGTAGATGTTCACTAGATTCCTCTGAATTGTGATTCTGAAGCCCTGGTCTGTTTCTCTTTCTAGACCCTGAGCAACCAGATTTTTCAATTTCAACAACTTCCACTGAAGGGAGATCAGAAACAGAATCCTTCCCTATTTCTGGACATGAGCCTCCTTTTCTCCAAAGAATTGATTGCTGCTTTGTAACTTCTTCTATATCAGAAGATAGAAAGGAAATGGTATCTTGAAAATTATTTTTAGATTCTTGCTTTCTTTGTTGTATCTGCAAAAGAAATTCCAGCAACAACTCCTGCTCTTCCATACTCTCCCGAAGCTCTATTGCTCCTTTGCGTTCTTCTATGTTGTATCTTGGCTCATTCAGAAACTCGCTTTGCAACAACTCACTGTTATACATGGTAAGAGAAAATAAGTGCAAGAAAATTTTTCTTAGGGATGACAAAATCACAAAAGATATAACAAGCTTAAGTGCAACACTCAAAGTTAAACAGCTCAAGATTTTTGTCATAATTTTTTCTATATAACAATTGGCACTTCAATCGACAGATGTCTTACTTCATACATGTTTCCCTGCCAATAATAATTTAATTATTCTCAATAGAACTTTTGTTATTATTAATCTAACTGAGAACATTATTTTGAAGGATAGACAATTAGACATCTATCACTTAGGTCACACACGTACTAAAAAAATCCCAAAATATATATCCAAAATTTGCAACTCAATATTGTATACCATTTGCTGACACTCTTTATACCCCAACGCCAGTGACAGTGATCCACAAATGATAATCTCAAAGATATAAAATCTATATCCATGCTTCCAGCACCCCACCTCAGGGAGGCCAACATTTGGAAAAGGTTTTCTTCTTTCATAGTTGCAAAAACATTCTACATGGGTCATAATTGTCCAGGTACCAGCAACCACCAAAAAAAAAAAGTTTAAAACATGGTCCTCCTAGGTATAGATATGTCAAACCTATCTTCTGGCTCCAAACTGCAAATGAATGAACAAAAAAGAGGTCAACTTTAACACCCCCTAGCATGGCAAGTGCATCCCCAATGTCTTGTCTTGGAAATATACTACTAGTCCTACAACACCACACAAGCCACAATGCAGAAAATGCCTACTACTGTGGGTAAGCAAATATGATCAGGGAATAAACTTAAAAGCAATTGACATGTACGGTGTTAAGTCAACAATTGTCCCAAAAGCTTAAGTTGTTAGAAATGGGCAAACAATGTATATCCAGTTATCTAACATCCTTCCTTACGTGGGCCTTGCATGTGGAGATCCAGACATTTATACATAGAGAGAAGCAAGAAAGCAAATTGACGTTGAGACCGAATGCAAATGGAGAGACTTGAACCCAAGATCTCCCGAATCTGAAGCAATTGACATGTACGGTGTTAAGTCAACAATTGTCCCAAAAGCTTAAGTTGTTAGAAATGGGCAAACAATGTATATCCAGTTATCTAACATCCTTCCTTACGTGGGCCTTGCATGTGGAGATCCAGACATTTATACATAGAGAGAAGCAAGAATGCAAATTGACGTTGAGACCGAATGCAAATGGAGAGACTTGAACCCAAGATCTCCCGAATCTGAGCTTTGATGCCATGATAAGTCACCAATTGTCCCCAAAGCTTAGGCTGTTAGGAAATGGGCTCAACAATATATATCAAGTTATCTAACAAATGGAACATAAAGATGAAATGGCATACATAAATGGGATGTTGTGAGGAGTTACCTCATTTTCGGCCGACTACTTGGGTCTGGATGCAGTAACCATAAGCAAAATGAAGCTTCTCTGGGACACTTCAGTAGCAACTGAGGAGGAAGAACACGGTGCCTCAGACTAGACATAGTTGAACTCTTTTCTTCTGCCGAGCTAAATGTACAGAATAACTGCTCATAAATCAAACATTCACACAGCTAAGCAGGAAGGGAAAACACAACAACAGCTCTATGTATATAGTTTCATAATTACTAAAAACAAAGAAGAAGAACAAAAACATAAAGGATGAATACATGATCCAATTTAGAGTAGTTGTAAATGGAGAACAGCATCTAGAGTACAGACCTCAAAAAGGAAGACCCCTAATCGATAAATATCAGACGCACAAGAACTTGGAGCACCGCTAACCTCTTCTGGACTGGAGTACCAATCGGTTTCCATAATCAATATCTGTTTCATGGGAAAGGGATGCTTCTTTTCTTCTGCTTGTTCAACATTACTGCCTACTTCTGATGGATTATGGGTCGGGTAGACTGAACTTGACTGCAAACAACTTGTTTCAGATACCATGCGGGAAGCATATGACAGATTTATCTCGAGTTCAGAATTTTCTGTTCCAAACTGACTTCTCTGTCGATGCAAGTCACGGGGAAAAGGTGAAGATGATCCTTTGAACTCCGCCATTTGGCTGTTTGACACATCCTCCAAGGAATCTGAACCAGAATCCAAACAAGATACGGACTCAATAAAAGAGACATGGTTGAAAGAAGTCGTGAAAAAGCGCGAAGGCCGCACATTATGAACAACAATTCCTTGTGAATGTGCTAGGTTAACAATATCTACTATTTGTGTAAATATGAGCAAGCATTCAACGGCATCAACTGATCGTTCAGGGTTATCCAACCATTGTCTCAAGCTAACATCACTCCATTCTAGGGTACGAATAGCTGGGTCCACCGTTAGCTCATCCTCACAAACTCCAGACAGACTAGTGGGGATTTTGTGAAGATCTCTGTGAGCCAACACAACCCTATCCCTCTCCTTTCTCCCTGGTACAAACCCAGAATCATGTGATGCATCACCGAAGGACCTGATTCTGCCGGCACGGAACAGTCCTGGGTTTCTATCCAAGACTGCAGAAGCATTGAAACCCCTAGAACTACCAGACTGTTGCCAACCAGGCTCTGAGGAACCGTCCATTGTCATCCACCAATAGCCGCATGAAGTATAGCATATACAAAACCTAGAAATGGAGGAATTTTTCTACTACTTCTACTACATTCCCTCACTACCTCCACCACCATCATTTTGAATAAATAATCACACCTTAGTCACACGCAGATAGAGTACCCATCGACCCATCAAGTTCAGAAACTCTTTTCAAGTAGAAACAGTTTCCTGCTGGGCAGAAAGCACATACAGATGAGAACTGGGCACGCTGTTTTAAGCATAAATAACACAAACAGCACCATCAACAGAAACCCATCAAAGAAAATCAAGTAAATTATCAAAAAGATAAAAATTACAGATTCAAATAACCCCAAAGACACACTTAAGATAAGAACATCATATGTACATAAACATATAGACACCAATAAATGCATCCATAATTAGACACAGAAATGCATACATACCTACAAATACAGGCAAGCACAAGCATAAAGAGAAGAGAATAGGAGAGAAGGTGAGGGGTTTTGGAAGGGTAATAGGTACCTGTAGGTATACCACTATGAGAAGAGCTGTGCTGCTGTTTCTGCTACACCAACCAGCAAGCAAAGAGAACCACACATCAAAACTTTAATTGCAACAGAAAGAGTGAGCTTTCCCCACAAGGGAAGCACCTCAGCCTCATAAATTCCCTGAATTTTCTTTCTTCAATAGTGAACCAAAAAAGAAAGAAAGCAAAAACAATAAAGCAATAAACAAAATGAAAAAAATTGAGACCCATAAAAAAATCTTGCCTAATTTTACCTTTAATGACATAATAAATTGACTGTCAACCTTCAATTTATCATAAATTTAACCATATAATGTCCAACCCGCATTTAAAATTGTAAGTCTCTAGCATTTTTTTATAAACAAAATCACTCCATAACGGGTTGACTTTGTGGTCAAAGCTTGGAGCATGTGTGTGCTCGCTCTAAGCATATTCAAAACCTCATAAGAGCAAACAATTTCTTGAGATTATTCCATAAGGTTTGCCTTTACTTTAATTAGGTCCCACAAGAAAACGGTGAAATTGGTCCCGGATTAGTCGGCTAAATGGGCCGAATATCGAGTTATCATAAATAAATAAAACACAGACAATTTAAATAATTTCTTGACACCATTCCATGCGGGGGTTTGCCTGGCTTTAATTGCACTCCGCAAGTGTATGGATGGTGGAATTGATTCTCGGATTAGTAGGTCAAATAGACAGACTACCGAGTTATAAAAAAATAAATAAATAACCCACACCATTTAAAATGCTGTCAAAGCTCAAATACCTTAGATCGCATTTGGTAGAGTTTTAGAATTATGATTTCAGAATAGAGCTGTATTTTGAATTTAAAAAAAATTCTGAGAGACGTCCTGAGTATGATCGGGTAGACGTGTTTTCAACAGTGGTGTGAAATAATTTTTTAAGGCTCTCACCAAATACCACACAAAACCAATGAGTGGAATTAGAATTTCAGAGCTCTACCAAACAGAGCTGTATTTTCATTTGGAACCCACGGACCTTTCCAACCCACTCGTCCCCGCATGTACGTGGCTCAACTATGTCCTCTAACCTCCTCTGAAAGCAAGGGCAAACGGTAAATTTGAACACCCAATGAAAAGATTATCAACACGTGACAAGGTGTTTCTTCAAGTGTTTTTTTATTGTTTTTTAATTTTTTAACAATAACTTCAACAAGTTCCAAATATTAAATTAATCAACAACCAAACAAAGTTATGTTAAATTAATCTAAACAAAGTTATTATATCTACTTACCTTTGAAGCTTCGTGAAGCTCGATCCAATCCACAGATTCTTTGTCCAATTGAAAAACCCTAATAACTGTGCATTGAAAAGAGGGCAAAAACTACTATCATATTTTCAGATTAAGAAAATGAAGAGAAAAAAGTACATTTGGGGCTTCAGAATCACCTTTCGAAGCTGGAAAAGTGCGGGAATATGAAAAAATGAAAGAAAATAATGGAGGAAAAAAATTGATTTTTGTAATCGAAAAAAGATTCTGCGAACTCGTCAATCAAATTCAGATCATTTGCCAAGAGAGAAAGTTGAAGAACAATCACTTTTCCAGATCGTGATTCGATTTAAACCCTAGAATTCCGAAATCGAAGACAGAGATTGACTCGTTGATTACATTACCAGTTTAATAAACCCTAAAAAAAAAATAGCGAGAGAGATAGTTGTGATACCACCGGGGGGTGGTGGCCGCGTAGCGGCGAAGGCATCCTCTTTATAGGTGAGACCTGATTTTTGGGTGCGAAATGTTGGTAATTTTAGGGGCGTAAAAATGGTCGGCTATTCGCGGCTGGTCCGAAGTTCGCCTATCGTCCGGGACTGACTCAGCCGCTTAGACCTGTTTGGGCTTAGACTTACTCAGTCTGAGTTTCCGGACTTGGGTTTGGTCTATCCTTTTGAAGCCCGGCTCTGCCCGTGGACCTGACCCTTTTAAGAATCGGCCCGGCCGAGACCTAGTATATTTTTTTGAAAAATAATAAAATTTTGGTAGAAAAAAATTTAAAAGAATAAAAAAATTGGTCAGGTCTGCCTAAGCCCGAGGCCAAGCCCAGGCCCACCGGGCCAGCTCGAGGCTCAGTCCGTCTAAGACTCGAATACCCCTATACTTGGGCCTAGGCTTGAGCCTAATTTTTTTGTCCGTGGGTCGACTTGGTCTTGAATGTTGGCCGAAGCCTGCAAGGCCCGACATGGGCTAGCTTGGGCTCGAACCCGAATGGGTCAGCCCGGGCCAAATTTACACTCCTAAGTAATTTAGTGATTCTTTATGGAGATTTCGGCCTCATTTGGGAACATGTTTTTTTAGCCTCCGTTTGGGAAGTGGGTTGGCTTTTTAGCTTTTTGGCTTTTTGGCTATTTTAACCTGGTTTGGGAAGGGCTTTTTGCTTTTTGACTTTTTTTGTGAGAGACGATTGTAATGATTATGGATTGGATTTGATGTTTTATTTTTTGTGGCTAAAATAGCCTATTTTGTTTTTTGTGACTATTTTAGCCCCTAACCCATCCAAACCTTCTTGCCAAACAACCCCTAAGTAATTTTTTGATTTTTTTGTTAAAATATTATGTAAAAAAATTAGTCTCCGTTTGGGAAGTGGGTTGGCTTTTTGACTTTTTTGGCTATTTTAGTCTGGGCTAAAAAGTTTGGTTTAGGAAGGACTTTTTGACTTTTTGGCTTTTTTGACTTTTTTTGTGAGAGAAGAGTGTAATGATTATGGGTTGGATGTGATATTTTGTTTGTTGTGGCTAAAATAGCATGTTTTGTCTTTTGTGGCTATTTTAGCCCCAACCTTGCTTGCCAAACGGACCCTTAGTATGTTTTTTATGACTTTTTAATTTTTTACGAAAAGATGTGCCAAAAGTAGAGAGAAAATGAAATCTTTGACTTTTTAATATAAATTTTTGGTTTTTTAATTTTTTTTAGTAACTTTTTTAGTCTTTACCTAAAATTACCACTTGTCAAACAATCAAACTCTGGGTTCATTTGTGAAGTAGGATTGAGCTTTATTCGTATATTGGTGGTGGGTCATTTCTTATGGATTGGGCTAGCAATCAGTTACTCAAGACCTAAGTCTATGGATGCTGACACCTCTACAGATGCAGTGATAACACTTCAGAACATCATTTTCTATGATCAAAATATTAAAAATTAAAAAAAGATAGTTGTGATGTATAAATGAGTAATACTAGATGTACGAGAGCCAAATATCCGACGTTACCTGTACTCCTTGTATCCAAGTTGCGATTTGCTCCGATTGACTTGAGAACACAATAAAGGTGAGCTACCTGGCGGTGTGCTGCCCGAAAACCCCTTCGACGATCAAGTTAGCACACTTAAAAAGAGAGATTGAGAAGGACAAAGTGGTAGGTAAGTTCTGATTAAAGGATATTCCAGACCTGAGTATGTGTGCATAGCACCGTTTATATAGCTTATGCACGCTTCTACATCCATTCCCCTCTGGGCGCGTGGACGTGCTCTCATCTCTCATTTCCCCACGTGTCAGCGCAAATACAACTAAACACTACCTAACGAAACTGCCAAACGGCTTTGACGCATACGGACAGCGCAATCCCCTTCATGCAGTCTCGTGACTCCGCATAGTACTCTTGACCGAGCTACGCTTAACCACACCATCACACAACGACCGTGCTACTTGTCCGGTTTCTTTGATGACCTCACATCGTGGCTCAACCGAGCTCCATAGTCACAACCGAGCATGAGCTTATTCTACGCCGTTTGGGAGGGCTAATCTAGTCCGGCTCCGAAGAGTGCATATCTCTCCCAGACTGGCAATCCACAATCATTCTAACTCAACCAGACTAAGGCCTCGGTCAGGCACGCACTCAATGTTTGATCAAGCAGAGGGCTTCGACTCTGGCCCAAACCAACTCGGTCGTAAACCTCCCTCTCAATTGCCCCATAATTTCGTCCGCGCCAATGTGACCGAAATTAACTTCTCCGGCCGAGGTCATCCACCTGCTCGATTATCCACCTTCATTCATTCGCCGAGCTAACTTTGATGCTCAGCCTCATGACTTGCTCGGTTGGCGCTTCAACTTTTCTGCCTGTCCTTTCAAGACTATCATTGGTCTTATCACAGATATGTGTCCTCCATTCATTAGCCTCATGCAGCCAACCCAGCCGCCCCACACCGTCTCTTCAGTTTCAAATTTTGGCGCCTCTTCTCTTATACATACATCGTATGCCCTTTCACATTTCTTTCTTCTATTGCTCATCTGCTCTCTCAGACGACCCAACAATCAAGTGCTACAGCACAACCTCTCTTATTTTCTTCATTTCCTGCCCACATCGAAGCATTTCTCTGGTGGATTCGGCCTCGCCGTTGTCGTGTAAAAGCATCTTCATATTTGCAACTCTGACTCTCGCCCCCAAACCCGTAAGTCCTTCTAATTCCCTCTATGGTTCTTACTATTCTTCGTGTTTTTGGGCTCACCGTATTCTTAAATTCAACTCCCGTAGACGAGTTTAGGGTGCGATAACAGTAGGCCTCAAGGCTTCGAACGGAATTAGGTTAGGGTTCTTTCCCAATGTAATCGCAACAACTGTCCTTGGCACTGTTCATCATATTCTCTGATGAACACGTTAAAGTCTGGGACCGACCGGGCTAAAAACCTTCGTTTGATCCAGAACCATAAGTGAATCGAGCAAGTTCCATGTTTATAGAACTTAGGTGAGAACCGAGCTAATAAATGTGCTAGGCCGCTCGACTGGGCTAATATCCGGTCCGCTTGAGCGACCGAGCTGTTAAGTTCTCAAGATCGAGTGCTATTGCGCCCAAAGTGACTGTCACGACCCAAACCCGGCCCTATGGGTTCAGCACCATAACCAGCCAGAAATCCGAGATTACCGAAGGCCTGCTTAACAGTAATACAGTAAAACAGAGTACAGGGCCTGGCGGAAGCCAATACAGTAATTAAACAATGTCCAATGAGCTGTGACAGTCTGTATGCCAAAAAGATTTTTCATGCATTCATACATACACAAACAGTACAGTCTATACAAAATTTACACAAATAAGTAATTAGGGACCTAATCTTTACGTTGTGTATGAAAAATAATCTGATCATATGTAGAGAACGTGTTGAAAATGTAAATAATAAAATTATCTATTTTTCTAATAACGTAAATTTTTCAAAAAACTGACAACCATAAATTTTTAAATAAGTTGATGATTAATCATATATATAAATAAATAAATAAAAGTTGTTTCAATCATATGTGTTGCAATCAACCAAACAATGCCATGTCTGGCTGCTTCTATCTTTCTATAATTGCTTGGAAAAATAAAGGCTGTAGGGTCCTCAAACATTGGGAATTAAGAAAAGGCCTCTTTCATTCCTTCACCTTTAGCCTTTGTTTTTTGTTTTTACTTTCCTTCATCTCCTTATGTTGGGTTACTCATCAATAAAAAAAATTTGGACAACTAAATAATCAAACTAATAGTGACTTTCATCAAATTAGAAGGATATTATTGTATGTTTGATTCACTTAAATGAGATAGAATGATTATTTTTAAACTTAATTAATCATTTCCTTATAATTGTTAATTTTTATTCTATTAGCGATGCATTTTCAATATATATTTAGTCAATCAAATAGGCAAATGGATATTTTAATACATTTCCTAACGTTATGTTTGGTTCATGAATTTATGTAAAGATTTGAAAAGGAAAAGAAAAAGATAGGTGCAATATGATTGAAATGTAATTACATTTTGCATACATTTTTCTTTACCCTTTTCAAATCCCTGCATTACATCATTAATTAAAAATTATTATTTTGAGTTTTAATTTTTATTTTATCATAGTTGTGTTTAATGATATGAAAAAATATCGAATACAACTCAAGATCTCTTACATTCTAGAGTGAGTAAAGAAAATTTTAATTATATTCTGGAAAAACTTAAGACTAAACTTGCTGGGTGGAAATCGGGAATGTTATCTTTGGCAGGGAGAGCAACCTTAATTCAATTTGTAACTAGTGCTATGCCTGCCTATGCCATGCAAACCTTGGAGATCCCGAGAAAAGTTTGTGATGACATTGACAAAATCAACAGGAATTTTCTCTGGGGGGATACCCCTGAGAAAAGGAAAGTTCATCTTGTGAACTGGAACCAAGTGTGTAGGTTGAAAAAAGATGGTGGCCTTGGAATCCGGAAGGCCAGAGATCAGAATTTAGCCCTTCTATCCAAGTTGGGTTGGAAAATGTTAAAGGGGGAAAATTGCTTATGGGTGGAAGTTCTCAAGAATAAATACTTGGGGCAACATTCCTTCCTTAATAGGAGGAAAGGAAAGAGTATATCTCATGTGTGGAAAGGCATTCTAAATACCAGGGATCTCCTGGTGAAAGGAGTGAGATGGAAGCTTGGTAGTGGATCGAAAGTGCGGGTTTGGCAAGACTGGTGGTGTGGTGAGGGGGTCCTGGATAAGGAATTGTGTTTATCCAATATCCAAAATCCTCCCCCTGAACTTATCAATGTGGACTCACTTATGGATGACTTTGGCGAATGGAATGTAAATTTGTTGCATACCCTCTTTCCTTACCTTTGGTGACTAGTATCCTGAAAATCCAACCTCCTCACACTAGGAATATAGAGGATTACCCCAGATGGGTTAAATCCCCAGATGGAGAATTCTCTACATCTAGTGCTTATGCATTAATTGTTGAGCATCCAAACCTGGAGGGGGATTGGAGTTGGGTTTGGAAGCTTAAGGCTCCTCAGAAGCTTAAGAGTTTCGTGTGGCTTGTACTACATGAAAAGATTCTCACAAATCACTTGAGAA